AAACGAGTTTTGGCCAACTCTTTGTTGTATTTCCAATTTGTCGGGACTGTTAAGAGATGGATTATCTCGTCTTCCACATGTCCTTTCTCACTCAGCACTTGCTAAACCATGGGAAGGTTCACTGCTATCCTGCGAATCCTGCAAAAAAGATGCGATGGACTTTGCCTTGAAGATGTTTACTAACTGGTGCATTTCACTAAACTCCAGGTCCTTTCCCTATCCTTTTGTTTATTGATTTAGTCTGTTGACTTTTACTTTTCTTTCCACTTAGGAGGAAAAATACTGTTTTCCAATCCCAGTTATAAGGATACAGTTTTCATATTTGATGATCAATATGGTACCAAAAAGAAATGTATGTGAATTAATAATAACCTGACTGCCCTATGTGGCATTTCAGCAGCTTTTCTTTTTTGCCCTTAGTTCTCCCTCTGATTTTTTAAAAATTTGTAGTTATTTGCTTTCCATGTTAGGAAGGTTACACAAAAGAGTAGAAATCATAGTAATCACATAATAGCTTAAAAATAAGATGAAATGACAGTGCTATTAATAAGATTTGTGGTAGCTTACAGTTAAGGAGTACCAGGACTTACATTTTAAGCTTTATGGGTATTATTTATTCTCTCTCCTGCCCCCCACTTCTCTCTCCCCCCACACTCCAAACACACACACAGAGAGACTCATTCATTCATGAAGCCCATACCTGTAAGACAAAATTTCACTGATGAGGAGCTGAATCTTAGATAGCTAAGGTAGCCTGCCTAGAACAGACACAAAAAAAAAAAAAAAAAGAAAACCAGCAGATCCAGGAGTGCAGCCTTTCTATGGCCTTTCCATTGTCGTTAACAGTGAATCGCTAAATGACTGTGGTGCTGCCTTAAAGGGCAGGGCCTTGTCTTATTCATCTTTGTACCCAGCTCTCAGCACAGAATAGAATGGAACAAGGGGGTGACGTAACCAGTGCTATATTTTAGGAAGATAAATCTGGCAACAATGAGTAGGATGAAGAGAACAAGAAAAGACTGGCATCGTGGAGAGCAGTTTCGATGCCATTGAAGTGATACAGAGAAAAAGATGATGAGCCAATGCAGGAGGGAGCTGTGCTGAGAGAAGAAAAGTCGCCAGTATAACAGAGATTCAGGAAGAATGCATGAATGAGACTTGATCATGTGGAGGCAGGGAGGAGTGCTAGGTCCTTGGGTAAATAAATATCTGTTCATGCAGCAAATGTTTCTTGAGCATCAGCTGTGTGTTGGGAACTATTCTAGGTCCCGGAGATACAACAGCGAATTGAGCAAACCAGAATTTTATTCTCCTACAGCTTCTGTCCTAATTGGAGGGATATGTTGGTCAGGATTCTCCAGAGAAACAGAACCAGCAGGAGATACATGGAAATGGAGATATAGATACAGGTTGAGATTTCAAGGAATTGGCTTATGTGATTGTAAGATCTGGCAAGCCTGAAGTCTGCAGGACAGGCCTATAAGCCAGAAACTCTTGGCAGGAGCTGATTATAGTCTTGAGCACAATTTCTTCTCAGAGGAACCTCAGAGTTGGTTAGTTGGTGGGTTGTTTGGTTGGTGGGTTGGTTTTGAGGCAGAGTCTTGCCCTGTCACCCAGGCAGGAGTGCAGTGGCGTGATCTTGGCTCACTGCAACCTCCGCCTCCCAGGTTCGAGCAATTCTCCCACGTCAGCATCCCAAGTAGCTGTAATTACAGGCACACACCACCATGCCCAGCTAGTTTTTGCATTTTTGGTAGAAACAGGGTTTCACCATATTGGCCAGGCTGGTCTCAAACTCCTGAACCCGAGTGATTTGCCTGCCTTGGCCTCCCAAAGTGCTAGGATTACAGGCATGAGCCACTGCGCCCAGCCAAAACCTCAGCTGTGCTCTTAAGATAGTTCAGATGATTGCATGAGGCCCATCCAGATTATTGAGGATAATCCCCTTTATTTAAGGTCAACTGACTGTAGATATTAACCACATCTACAAAATGTCTTCATAGCAACATCTTGACTTGTGTCAATTGAATGACTGTACTACAGCCTCACCAAATTGACACATAAAAACTAAGCATCCAGGGGAGGTGTAAGAATGACCAGTGTATAGAAATAACTGAGGGTGTTTGAGAACAACGACCAGTGTCTGTGGATCAGAGACTCTGGGGAAGGCTTTTCCACTGTAGTAGATACTTCTCCACAGACAGGCCACTGAGACTTGGGGATGTTAATCATCTTATTTGAGTGCTAAAATGGCTAATGAATGGCCCTGCTGTCATTCTGACTTAGCCCATGTACAGAAAACAGCAGAGCCCTGCCTCCAGGGAATGATCAAAGGACCAGAGTGTTTGACTTTTTCCCAGGAGCAACACCAGTTGGTGAGCAAGTTCAGATTAGGAACTTGAGCATCAGCTGTGTGCCAGGAACTGGGGATGCCGGAGATGCAACAGTGAATCAAGCAAACAAGGATTTTGCTCTCATAGAGAGCAAATCCTCCACTCTAATTGGAGGATATATTGGTCAGGAGTCTCCAGAGAATTAGAACCAGCAGGAAATATGTAGGAATAGAAATAAAGATACAGAGCATAGATCCTGAACATAAGGAGGTCAAAATTGCTTTTTGGAAGTGCGAGGAAAGGAATGGCTTTATGCAGCTTGGATGCCAGACACCCGCTTCTCCTTGCTCCCCCGCCCTCCCTGGGCTCTTGAATGAGCCATTCACCCTTCTTCCACCTCGCCTTCCCCTCTATGTAAACCATGACCCACGTAGCCCTTCAGTTTCAGCTTTGTCATTTTGTTAGGGAGCCCTTCCCTGAACACCCCAACTAGGATGAATCTCCCAGTTATAAGCCCCTCCTCGCCAGACTCCCTTTTCTTCTAATGTAACACTTAACACTGTTGTCACTAAGTACTTTATTCTATATTATTTTATTAACGTCTGTCTCTTCTGCTGTGCCTCCTGAGGGAAGGAGCCAAATCACCGTTGTGCTGATTCTCTGTGTTAAGCACAGTTCTTAGTGTATACTACTTGTTGCATGAATGCACAGATAAAGGAGGGAATGGATGAGTGAATGAAATATACTGCTTCCAAGTAGTGTGTATTAGTCTGTTCTCACACTGCTCTAAAGAAATACCTGAGACTGGGTAATTTATAAAGAAAATAGAGTTAGGCCAGTCGCAGTGGCTCATGCCTGTAATTCCAGCACTTTGAGAGGCTGAAGTGGGCAGATCACTTGAGGTCAGGAGTTCAGGATCAGCCTGGCCAACATGGCAAAACCCCATCTCTACTGAAAATACAAAAACTAGCTAGGCGTGGTGGCAGGCACCTGTAATCCCGGCTGCTTGGGAGGCTGAGGTACAAGAATCACTTGAACCTGGGAGGTAGAGGTTGAAGTGAGCTGAGATCACACCACTGCACTCCAGCCTGACCGGCAGAGCAAAACTCCAAAAAAAAAAAAAGGTTTAATTGGCTCATGTTTCCATAGTCTATAGGAAGCATGATGCTGGCATCTGCTGGGCTTCTGGGGAGGCCTCAATCAGGCAGAAGGCAAAGAGGGAGCCAGCACTTCACAAGGCTGGAGCAGAAAGAAGCAGGGTGGGGAGGTGCCATACACTTTTAAACGACCAGATCTCTTGAGAAATCACTATCACAAGAACAGCACCAAGAGGGAAATCTGCCCCCGTGATCCAATCACCTCCCACCAGGCCCCACCTCCAATACTGGAGATTACAATTCGACATGGTATTTGGGCAGGGACACAGACCCAAACCATATCATGGTAAATCTGCAGGGCGTCTTAAACAATAATCTGGAAATATAATAACACATCCTTGTTGCTACAGTCCTTTCTTCTAATCCCCAATCTGACCATATCCTGTATGCAGCCAATCTCATCTTTGGCAATTGAGTTCTTCTAATTTCAGTTTAAAAGGTAGAACTTCCCTGAACTCTTTTCTAATTTGGAGGTACTTTTTAAGCATTTGAGCCCAACACAAAGCAAATGAGGTTTTCAGAACTGTTAGAACAAAAGGACGTGCAAGTGAGAGAACAGAGCAGAAATATTCAAGAACAGTGCTCCATGGCAGAGGGGTGACAGGCAGAGGGTACAGAAAGAGAGTCAGGCATGCATGGAATGTCCTAAGGAAGTCCTCATGCTTAAAACAGATAGTTCTTTCTCTTCTTACCCCAGGCAGGAAATTCTGACTACTTCTGCCTGTGGTCTGGAGTCTTGGGAGTTAGAAGAAAAGCTTCTGACTCAGGGAGTTCCTGACATCTCTGAGTGGACCCTTTCAAGCCAAGTTCAGAGAAAGTTCAGTTAGGAAGCCCTCCTATAGCCACCAAATGCCCCCTTCTGCCACAAAGACAAAAGCTAGTAACGACTGGCACATGGGAATGACCATGTAGTTGAGTGAATGAACTGCGCAGATATGACGGCTACCCACGTGAAACCCCAGAGCCTTTTACTCTGGCTTTTGATTTGACAGTCAGAAGCCAAAACAACTTAAAATGGCATTGGTGTTACTGAATGCTTCCAGGAGCTCTTTTGCCCTTTTGTGTTAGATCCCAAATATTAATGGAAATCAGCCTTTACGCTGCAGTTGTCTACTGACTGTGGGAAAACAAATTCTGCATATTTTTTTAAAGTAGCATCAGTCAAGTCATCCTACAAGGTGTGTACAAGTTTCCCCACTTGCATTTTTTTCATTAGAGCTTCTTCCTATTGAGAAAGAGAAAAATCTCTGTTTCTGCATTCTCTACATTTTCTGAAACTTGGAAGCCTCCATTGCAAATTATATAGGACAGTCTTGGGATCCAGACAGACTTTGACTATATCAACACAGGGTATAACAGGAAACACTTTGGTCCACAAGTTAGGGATGGATGTTTGAGTCTTGACTCTGCCACTGAGCAATTGCGTGGCCTTGGACGAGTCCCTGGGCCATGGTGGACTAGGTAGTCTCTGCAGTTATCGCCGCTCTAAGATGTATGGTTCTCATTGCAGGCATCTTTTCCACAAGTCCTGTGTTGACCCCTGGCTTCTAGATCATCGCACCTGTCCCATGTGCAAGATGAACATTCTTAAAGCCCTAGGGATCCCGGTAAGCACAGCACAGCCTACAGCATCATAATGTCTGTCTTTCTGCGTTGCCCCCAAAGCAGGGAGAAAACACTATACTTGGATGTTCTGTGTCCCCTGAGTCACACATAGCAGTCACATCATCTTACAAGGCTCCAGGAGAACTCCTATGTCTGAAAGCATTTCTCCCCTCACTTTTTCTCTGAGGACATCCCAACCTTTCACCATGTCCATTGTATTTGTCTGTGAGTCAAGGTATCACTTGTGCAGCTCACTGGCTTCTCTTCTGGGCTGCAGCACGGAGGGCAGGTGGGATGGGAGCAGACACACCCCGGACCAGTTGCACACTGAGCACCTCTTGCATCATCATCACCCCTGTTGGGCCATCAGGGAGATCTGTAAGCCATGCTTTTCCCCACAATCACCTGGGTTTCAGAGGGAGCGAGCACCTCCCAGCAATGCGAGGGGAGGACGGAGGCTGAGTCAGGCTCAGAGCCTCAGCTCAACTCAGATCTCTGTGGAGACTTTGAGTGAACAGGAAACCAGAGCCAGAGCTACTTAATGCGAGTATTTAGTTTTTAATTTAACTGGTTTCCCCAGTTAACTCCCCCAGAGACTAAACGTTTTCTAAAGTTTAGTCTCTCCCCTGTACAAAGAGAATCAGCCAGCTGGCTGGATGCTCCAGGGAGACTCTCCCAGGACTGTATCAGGTGAAGCCTGCAAACTGGTGGGTGGTGAGACACCAGCTGCTATATGTTCTCCCCTCTCAGCGATGAGGGCAGGAAGCAAGGCAGGCCACCAAATCCAAGGACTACACTGAGAGATGCGAGAAACCGTACGGTGCTGTGTAGAAGTCAGACAAACAAAATGCCGATACCAGCTCCCCCTCAGCGCCTCCACTTTGCTGCCACCTGCCTATCGTCACTCCTCACTGCTAATGGCAGAGAATAAAGAGAATGTTAATAGTCTCAAGATGTCACTGAAGAAGGATCAGATCCCATATCAAAGGTTTACTTTAATGCCAAAGGACTCATTATCTTAGGAATATCAGAGTAGCTCTGCTGGAGAGGGACACCTGAAGCATTATGAGGACATGCATTGGCTGAACTTTCTACCCTGTGCCAGCTGCCTCCATGCCTGCTGTATGACTTCCATGGTTGATACCCTGAACACAAATCAACTTGTATGACTGTACCTTTAAGCTAGATTTTAAAGATAATGCATTAAATTTTCAGACCAGTTATAAATGCATAATGCATTCATGATGAAAATCAATTACAGGGAATACGAAACATCAGTAAAAACCCAACAGCTCTGCCAGATACTGGTGACTTAGAAAGCTGAGCTCAGTTTTTGTACTCTTCACATTTCTGTCTGTAACTGAGTCTTTCAAGGGAGGGGGAAATGTGTATATGTGTGTCTATGGTCTCCAAAATCTTTAGAATCCTCACAGTTCTCACAATGAAACAGAGACAGTTGCCTCCTTTGATGTGTTCCTATTGTTCAGGGTATTTTTAGAAATATTAAGTGCCAGTCCCACTGCTGTCTGGTAAGGAGAATGGAACCTAATAAGCATCCATCGTTCAATTTTGTACTGAAGAGTATTTGACTCCAGACTTTTTCAGTGGTGGTATAACTTCTGCAGAAGCTACTTGTAAATAAGTTGCAAATATCGCTGTTAATTATTTTTAGAAGAATTATTGGATGGCCTTTTCTCTTATTTCCAAGATTAATAACATTTTAACTTTTTGCATTTGGGCATTCTGGCCATGGTTTGATGCCTACCAAGTTTGGATAGGATTTTACTTAGCACAATGAACTGTCAGAAAAATAAACATCAATAGCATCTTTTGGATTTGGTAAAGATTTTTAAAGTCCAGCTGAACAATTATACACATCCAAGCCTGCCCCCACAAAACAGAACATCCTCCCTGAAGAATAAGGCACTTTTGTGCTACTTCTCACAAAGCACGAAGGCATCCATGGATACCTTCTGTGCCTCCCAACCTTTTTCTGTTTTTCTCCTAGGGAATGACAAAGTCAGGATCTAGGAGGAATTTTGGATTTTGTTCCCCTTCATCCTTCTACCATTGGGTAGCACTATGTCTTATTTATATCAACAAGATGACTTCCATTTCACTGGACAAGCTCACAGTCTTCTCAATTAGAAAAGACTTCCTATATCAAACTGAAACCCTTTTTATGCAGCTTAAACAAACTGTCTATAATTTTCCTATGTTCCATGTGTTCCATTTCTTCTTCTTCACAGAAAATTGAAAAGAGCTTGTCACTCTCTGATAACTGATGTCTGTTGATGCTTCATCTCTGCATTCCTTACATATGCTAAGTGTTCAATAAATGTCTGTGGAGTTACAGCCCTTCAGAGCCTTGAAGGCTGCCAGTTACACAATCGTATTTATGAATTTCATCCTGATTCTCCTTTGAATAGTGTCAACTCACAAACAACTTGGTTGTAATCCTGATCTAGCATATTCAAATACAGGTGGCATATTATTTTTGGTTTTTGTTTTTGTTTTTGTTGTTTTAACAGAGTGTCCTTGTATCTACCCATGGTATAAGACAAATAAATTGAAAGTCAGAAACTGAGGATGTTATTTTGTAAGTGATTTCTCTACAATGAAAATGAGAGCACAGTTCACTGATCACGCAATTCCTATAACAATAGGTATCATTTTCTATTATATTTTGCCAAGGGAAATATAATACTGAATGCAAAGAGTGGGGAGTCCTTTATTATCAGAAGCATTTTGATCTACATTACGGTGCTTCTCCCTCCATTCTATCCAGTCAGGTCTAGGTCTGTCTTGGTAGAATGACAGAATACAGTTTCAGCGAATCCTCCTCTAAGGTACCATATAACCTGGGATTTTCATATGCCAGCAACCACCTTCTATCACTATTATCCTGGTAGGAATAGGCTGATGATTTTTATTGAATGCAAAATCCTGTATAACTGGTGTATTCACAAGATTCTATTTAGCAGTTGCTTTATTAGAGGGGTTTCCCATGCTAACTTGAATTTAAATACCTGTGCAGTTTTCACTTGCAGATAGCATTTGACATCTTGTTTTAAATTTTATGATTGTGACTTCTCTTAAAGGTATGTAGATTTGGTTTCTTTTTAAAGTATTATTCCATTTGATGAACCATGTAGAGTGGATATAATCTGTGAGGTTCTGTAAAGTTGGTCTATTAAATATTATATCTAAGCCCAATTATTTGTGCTTGCTACCATTGACAGTTTCACTGTGCTACTTAGCTCTTTTGCCCTCTACCCACTCTGTTAAAGATAGCACGATTCCTAGTATCCCACAAAATGAAGAACAAAAAAAAAAAAACTGCATCAAAATTAAGAAAATATACAAAGAACAATACCATACCAACAGCTAGATCAACATTTTGAAAAATATGTCCATTATTATTGCATATGATTGCATTTAAGTATTTATGGCCAAAAAACAACCTGTACAGTACCCTCTCTGTGAAATATTTTCCTCCTGAAAACCACCCCCCCATAGCTGGTTTTGTTTAATAAACACCTGTGTACAGCATATCTTTGAATAGAACTTTACAGTTTTTCAAGTATTTTCTCAAATCCTCCCTTAATTGATTTAGGGCAGATATTAACATGCCCAAGTTTCCAGGGCAGAAATCTGAGATTCAGATCAAATTTCCAAGTCAACATTTACTGAGCAGGACCTAGTCATTGTCAGTGGCACTATGTAGGGGCTTGGAGTCCAAAGTCAGTAGAGTGTGGTTGCTTCACTTTACAATGTCTGGGGACTAGCAGAGTGAGATCAGCACATTAACTAATAGCCATACAGCATGGGAGAAGTACCTTATAAAGTGCTTCCAGGATCAGAGATGCGTTCCTGGGAGGGAACATGCCTTAGAAAAGGGGACAGTGGACCTGAGAATTAAAGGGTGATTAGGAATTCACCAGGACCCAACTTGAGACCTTGGGATAGGAAAAAGAGGGTGATTGGATCAAATGTCATCCTGAGCACAGGGACAATATAAGCTACAGTGTTGAGAGGAGGGAATGTATGGTATGCTCCATGTCTCCAAAGGGTGAAGGTGAGGCCAGAAAAGTAGGCTGGGGCCAGACTCTAGAGCATCTGCCTCTGTCCTGCCAGGGAGCATGTAATTCCTTCCTTGGGAGAAGAGAAAAAACACACCTGTGGTGGTTTTGTTTTTTGTTTGTTTGTTTTGTTTTGTTTTTTTGAGACAGAGTCTCGCTCTGTCACCAGGCTAGAGTGCAGTGGGGCGATCTCGGCTCACTGCAACCTCCACCTTGCAGGTTCAAGCGATTCCCCTGCCTCAGCCTCCTGAGTAGCTGGGACCACAGGTGCATGCCACCACACCCAGCTAATTTTTTATATTTTAGCACAGACGGGGTTTCACAGTGTTGGTCAGGATGGTCTCCATCTCCTGACCTCGTGATCTGCCCGCCTCAGCCTCCCAAAGTACTGGGATTACAGGCATGAGCCACCGTGCCCAGCCCATGGTGTTTCTGTTTTGGTTTGGTTTGGTTTGGTTTGGTTTGGTTTGGTTTGGTTTGGTTTTTAAAGAATGCTCTGATGAGAGAGTGCAAACTGAAATAAACTGGAAAAGAGATGTAAGTAGATAGGGAAACTGGTAATGGGGAGAGAATGTTCATAAACCCACTTGCTCATGTCCGATGTCAATCAGTAAATTCAGTAAATTCAGTGAATTGGTTATTCTATGAATCAACTTTTGACAAACTGAGTTTCAGTGAATTGGCTCCCTTCCAATACAGCTAGAGAGGGCACAAAGAAGAAAGAATACAGGAAAGAAATGAATGAGCTGAATTTGATGGGTTTATGGAATGGTAGAGCTCTCCAACTGACTGTTAGGACACAGGTGTGGAGCTCAGGAGACTGGCATTACACAGCTAAGAGCAGAACACCAGGACAAGAGCCCAGCACTTTGCATTTCTAGCTTTGTGTTCCGTAGGAGTTGTAGGTTTTCTGTTCTGATGAACTTAGAAATTATGATGTTAATTCAATCATTGTCAATCCAGGGTTCTCCTCCCCTAATCCTGACCATCATATTCTGCCTACTTTGGGAGTGTAAAACCATGTAATTATCATCCTTCAAGACAAAGCCGAAGTTCAGACCAGAGCAAAAGAAATTAACAGCTATTCTTAATACTGCTTAAGACAATATTCCTCCACCACCACCTTTTAAACATAATTTTGAGTTTGTGTAGAGACAGAACAACTGAAAGTCATTTGAAAAGCTGTTTGTGGAAGAGATAGAAATATATTCATTTTTACTTCAAACCAGCAGAACTGAGACAAAAGAGTAAAACTTGCAAAGCATAAGATTTTGCCCAATAATAAGAGAGTCCAACAATGCTCTGGCCAACACAGAGTGCCTTGCAAAGCGGAGAGCTCCCATTGCTATGTTCTTCAAGGGAAGCTGTCAATGATATTGAAGAGGAAAGTGTCCTGTAACCAATGGGCAATTGAACAAGGGGGTCTCACCCTAGTCTTATGATTCTAAGAATTTAATTTAAAGGATTTGACAAATGTATGATCAATACCATATTAAGGACATAGGGATATTTTTCTATAGCTGGCTTTAGGCTTATGTTTTTCTTAAATGTAGCCTTACCCTGTGCTTTGTGTGTGTTTGAGGGTATGTATGAATCTTTAATGAACAAACCATAATGATTCAGATTCTATCCTCCCTCCCACTCTCATCTCATTAGTATATTTGTAAACAACACATGAGTTTTAAGGGATAATGATCAGGCTACCAGCTACATTCTAGGTGTGGAGTAAATAATACTATATGGAAGGAAGTGCCTTCATTATAAATTTCACATACTCCCCCTAAGTGATTATTTAAATGTAGAGATTTTGCTTATCTTGAATTAAAACTTTAATTTTTAACCTAAAAATTAAAAAGGAATCTTTTCAGTCTAAAATGAACTTTTAGAAAGGAAATTTTGGAAGATCTTTTTATGTTAATCTTATAGAAGCTATATGTAGAATGTTTTTAAGTAAAGTGACTCAAGACGTAAACAATAAAGAACTTAATTTTTTCATGGAGACAAAATCTTTAGGCTATAGACATTTAATCTCTAAGTGGATGGCATGTACTGAGAACAGATCCTTTTCTACCCCATCAGCCCAATGCCGACTGCATGGACGACTTGCCCACTGACTTCGAGGGCTCTCTGGGAGGTCCACCCACCAACCAGATCACAGGCGCAAGCGACACAACAGTGAATGAAAGCTCAGTCACTTTGGACCCTGCTGTCCGGACTGTGGGAGCCTTGCAGGTGGTCCAGGATACAGACCCCACCCCCCAGGAGGGAGAAGTCATCTTTACTACTAACAGTGAGTTCTGCCATACTTAAAGTGACATAGCCGGAAGGGCTGTTGCCTTGTAGGAATTGGATAAAAATACCTTTCCTCAAGAAGAAAAAAATATTGAATGAGTGCATCATTGCTAGGTTCATCTGTTATAACTGCCAGTTGTTAGAAGAACTGCCCTTCCTAGAGCCAGCAGGGCAGACAGCCCATGCTCCAGCCTGCCCACACACTGACACCAGGGCTCACACATCACAGCACTGCACACTCTCCATGTCCACTTCCCATGGTACCTGAGGCACATAGGGTCATGGATCTGGAGCCTCTCAGACTGGAGGGCAGGTGAGGGGAGCAACTGCAAGGGATGCTCAGCAGGACTGGGATAGGGCACAACCACACCCACTCACGTGCTTATGCTCGCATGTGTGTACACACATGCATTGGAGTCCTCTGAGTGTGCATGCGACTATATGAACTAGTCTGGACCACACGCAGGAGACTGCTTTCCTTGTTGCTGTAGGACGTGGATGTGAATAGCATCCCTTTAGATGGCCATATTTGCAAGAGACACTAAACCCCTGTGCACAGTGGCCCCGCATACTAAAATACCTTCTGGGTATTTTCCCCCATCTCCTACATAGACAGTCACTAAATGCTGTTCTGTTTGATGGTAGTTTCCATAAAAATATTAAATTATGTATATTAGCATCAAGATTGAGGTAAACATCTAAAGTACCTACTATTCAGTCTAATATAAGAGATAAAAGCTTCAGGAGTTCTAAGAAAATCAGATGCAAATTAGCTCAGGTTTAAGGTTAAAAGAGTGAGTGGATATTGCAATTTTTAAACAAAGTGTATTTCTCTTGATAGAAGTAACCTATTCACTGTAGAAATTTGGAAATGTAGAAAAGCAGATTGAAGCATTTGGGGATATTTTCTTTGAAGTTGGTCTTTTTTTAACATATTTGGGATTTTTATAAAATTTATGAAAGCATGCTAAAATGTAAAGATATGTATTTTTCTGATGAAAAAACTTCATTGTTGAAAAATTGAAAGAAAAAGAAAAGACTAAAAAAGAATGAAAAAAATCACTGAGGGCTCTACTACTTGGAAACAATCACTCTTAACCTTTTGGTTTATTTCCTGATCATCTTTTATTATATAGCTGAGATGATCCCATGGGATTTGAACATTGAATATTGTAACCATACCATTTTTACAGGACCTTGACAGAAGGTGACTTGAAGAGGAGTTTGGTGAGAAATATCTGCACATGCAAGGTTTACTAGTTTTTGATAAATAGGACCTTTACCTTGAGAAACTTGACTTTTACAGATACAAAGATCTCAGTATTGAAATGTTGACCGTTAGGCATTTAAAAGCCGTTAAAGATGGATTTTGATCCCTTTGTTTTGAAGGTTTAGACAGTTGCAGCCCAATATTAATATAATGCAAGTCATGCATGTAATTTAAATTTTTCTATGGCCACACTAAAACATTAAAAAATAAATGAAGTTCATTTTAATAATATATTTTTACTTAACCCTGTATATCCAAAATATTTTACATTTTTTTGGTATTCAGCCTTCAGAATCTGGTGTGTATTTTATTTACACTTATAGCACATTTCAGAATGTTTTTAAATAAAGTGGCTCAAGAAGTAAACAGTAAAGAAATTAATTTTGTATTAAGACAAAATATTGTCTCCAATATTAAAACTATTGAGACAATATTTAAAACTATTAAGACAATATAAACTTATATTTATCTTCAAAATTAAAACTATTGAGACACTATAAAACTAATTTATCTAGCTACATTTGAAATGCTTAGTAATCACATACAGCTAGTTGCTACCATATTGGAGTGCATAGATCTAGAATCCTAGTACTTTAAATGAAAGAGAACGTTAAAGGTCATTTGATTCTTACCAAAATATACTACTAATTTTTGTCATGAGAAAATTATGCCCCAGAGGACTAAATGTCTGACTCAGGTCAAATAGTAAGTTCTCTTTTTGGTGTACCAGGTGGTCTCAAAATTTTTCCATTTATTGGACATCTTTGGTTACCATCACACAGATGGCCATAAGTGATCTTAGTGAAATATATTGGAAGGTCTGATAAAATTTTGCCAGCAGTTGAAAAACATGTAAGGCATGAGCATGCTTTTGAGAACAAAAATTTTTTAAAGGACCATTATCCTTGCAAAAGAATGACCATTTGATTTTCAAGAGAAGATAAGTCATCTGTCAGATTCCTTATTTTGAAGAGTGGCTACATACTTCATACATTTTAGCAAAGCCAAGATGACAAATAAAAAAGCATTTTAATTTAATGTGGGTTAAATTACATCCAAAATAAAAAAATATGTAAATATATTGTGGGTTAAAATACTTCAAAAAATAGAAAATTATGATCTATATCCATGTAATTTGTAATCCCTAAACTGTTTTTGCATAAAATAGACTCAGAGTGTTTAGTTCATAGCGACCATTCTGTAGATGTTTATTGAATGACTTGAGGTAAACGTGTTCAATCTAAGCTTGAAATAGAGACCTTCTGTTCATAACAGAAGAAAAGAATGCCAGGCAATTTCGAAGGAAACTACTGGTACAGATGGCATAAAGAAATAAGAGTGGTATGACAATACCTACAGTCAGAAGACTGATGGCATATATAAATATGGCTATCGGTTTCTTAGTATAGAAACTAAATTTTCTCACGAAATATTTTCCCTAAACCATATATTTCTGGTTAGTTTTATTTATTAGGATTTCTCAGAATTTTACAAATATGAACACTCTGGTTATTTGTTAATGGTTATACCATTAACTAAGTGGCTGTAATTCCTTAGGAGAAAAAGCCTCTGCTCTGTACAGATTTTTTTAATTGCCTAGTGACTTACTCAAATAAAGATTTAATTAATAAATGAACAAACACAAATGCATAACTAAATGAATCAAAAGATTCAAGTTTTCATCAACAGTATTGTACTCAACTCTAATGCTATTCAAAAATCATGAGGAGATAGACATAAGTGTTGTCAGATATACAATATTGCTATAAATTGCAAATAAATAACCCAGTGGAGGTTGGACATGACTTTTCTTCAAATTATTCTTTCCCCTCCTCACATCTCCACAGACCCAGGAAATTACTAGAAAGGAAGAAATAGCAGCAGCTAACAAATACGTTGTACCTATTACGTACCAGGCACCCTTTTAAGCCTTTTTCATATATTAGCTCACCACAACCCTAGGAGGTAAATAGTATTTTTATCTTCATCTGACTGATGCAGAAATGGAGGCATAGAGAGATTAATGTCACTGATCCAAGGTCATAAGTGACAGGTGGGGCTGGAACTCACTGGGCCACTGGCCCCAGAGCCCAGGCTTAGCGACGCTATGTTCAGAGACAGAACGGGCGGGGAAATTAACACAGTTACCTAGTCACTTCCCATTTAGTTTATTTGTTCAGTTCTTCTGTTTTTCTAAATCTCTTAAAAGATCAAAAATTTGTTTGCTTCCTACTTATACTCTCATTCCAACCTCTATTCATTCTTTCCTGGCCCATGTGCAATAGATCAAATGCATGTCGAAGTCATTTCAGCACTCACGGAGCAAAGATGTAGAACAGATTGCCTTCAGACTGAAAGTAGAAAAATCTAGCATTAAAGGATCATCTTCAGCTCCCAGGGAGAAAAAAAAAAATGAAAAACATTTGCAGAGCCAAGGAAATTCAAACTTGTTGCAAGTCTGACACTGGAAGAAAGATGTTTTTAAGTACATATTTTTAATGTTTCTGACATTTCCCCTTTTAAAACCTCACACGGCAGTCCTAGAACAGCATTTCTCCTCCACCTTCATGTGAGTGGTCATTTGTATGAACGCCCACACGTCACTCACCAGTCTTTATCTGTAGGCCTGATCATGCCAAAAACACACGTTGCCTTTAACTTCTCAAGCTCAGGCTGCAGATTGTTGGATTTGCTTCCACAGGGGAAAACAGTTCCTTAGAACCAAAGGAAAACACAGCGAAACAGACAGCCCTGTATGTTTGGAGACTCAAGAGAGAAGCTAGAGAAAGACACAGAAAAGATGACTTTATTATACCTTCTTAAAAACGTTGAGTGCCACTCCACATCTTGGGGAGGTCTGAAACCTTCCTGTGATTTTTCAAGGAGGTTGTTGACATCGCCATTCATTTCTTTATTCCCCTGACTGAGTCACTACACAAGTCCTCTAGCACTGCCTGCAGATCGTTACCCACTTGGCCCTTCTTCCATCTCAGACTAGAGGGAACCAACTGTTGGCCCATGGAGGGTGGGAATGGCAGAATCAAGATATGGCACATCTGCCCATACATTCTGAAAAGCACTTGGCATGATGTGTCTGGCCAGGAGACCTGGTCTTCAAACTTTCAGAAGGAAGCAGTACACATGAATTAATGTAAAGGCTAAAACTTGGCCAGTTGAAATGAAAAATTATATGGATTTCCTCTGGGAAATTTTCCTTTGCTAACTTCCCATTAACTCTGATCCTGGGGGAAAGAGGAGGGTATCTAACGTGTTGAACAGACAGTCATCCCTTGATACCCACAAGGAATTCATTCCATGATACCCCCTTTCCCCCAAAGATACCAAAATCTGAGGATGTTCAAGTTCCTTATATAAAATGGTATAATATTTGCATATCCTCCATACTTTTAAATCACCTCTTGATACTTATAATACCTAATATTATAGTTGTTCTAGCATATTGACTTTTATTTGTATTTTTTTGTTGTTGTATTATTTTTATTGTTCTTTTTCCTTGAATATTTTTGAGCCATGGTGGGTGGTAGACCCAAGGCTCAGGCAGATGTGGGGGACCATTCAAAATGCATCTTTATTTTTGCTACATTGACACTTAAAATGTATTCAGTGGTTGTCAGAGTTCCTTGCCCCTGGATGAAAATTCTAGCAGGCCCAAGATTTTTCTGCTACTCTTGGGTAACTGATAGTTCTAAGAGTACCTTTAAATTCTAAGAGTCCCTGTAAGTTGCAAACACAGACCCCCAAAAAAAATTTTTTTCCTGCTGGGCACTGTCCCTTGTATTTCCTACAA